CTCAACTCCAGCCTGCTCAGCACAGAGGAAAACCAGGTTGTGACAAACTGAGTGACTCCCGGCTGACTGAGCTGCAGCCCTGGATGCAAATTCCTTTAGGAGTTGTGATAGCCCCTGACCCAGCCCTCTCTTTGCATACCCCACGAGAAACTCTCCTTCATAATAAGAAACACATTGAAGATCCTGTTCATACAATGCATTGCAGCTTTAAAAACACCTCTGGCCTGCCTCAAACTGTGAGTTCTTAAAGTGTGACATTTTAAATGTAGACCATGGCTCCAGGCTCATTATCCTCATGGCTGTGTCACTGCTGTACCTCTCGAGATAGCACAGACACGGACACTGGGGCCTGCTTGTCTCTCAAACTTCCCTTAGATCCAAAGAGGGAGGAACCAGGATGAGGGCCACTTATTCTCCCCAGAAAAGCCTGCCCCTGAGCACCTGGCATCAGAGGTTGTGTCTGTTGCCTGTAGCCACCAGACCCTGTCCTTCCTCCATAACCCAGAGTGGCAATCTAGGTTATGGAGGAAGGAGAGGATCTGGAGAGGGTCCTGAGAGGCCCCAGAGACCTTCCACAGCCCTGAAAACACGGGGCTCCTTCAGAAGTCTGTCCCATCACCCACAGGGAGACCATGTGGAGGCCTTGTAGCCCCACTGCGTGCTTCTCCACCAAACCCCGACAGCAGTGAGCTCCCTTAGCGCTGAGTCTGTGGAAGGCAGAGGAAGCCCTGGCTCCCAAAGCCCGGATGTCCTGTGGAGCTGACGCTCCCTGAGTGACTGTGTGAACTGAAGGAACTCCAGTGTGGGCCGTAGGCTACCTCCTGGCCCGGGCCTGGGTGGACTCTGAGGGGACACGTGAAGTTCAATCACATCCTCCCACTCTGCTTCTCAGAGGAAGGAAACGGGCACCCACCTGTCTCATCTCTGTCCCGTGGGGATGATGGGGTGTTTCAAGGGACTTTTCACATGAATTTCACCAGCTCGGACCTTCTGGGAGGACTGGGCCCACCACGCTGCTGGTGCTGCCAGAGCCGTGAGCCCCTCCAGGGTCCCTGGGTTTCAGCCAGCCCTGCTTCATCCCCAGGAGCTGAATGTTCCAGCAATGAATGGAATTAGATGGAACCAGCTCCCAGTGTGGCCTGAGACTGTCCCCAGGTATTCAGGCAAAACAGAACATACCACAGAGCAGGCAGGTGAGCCCCCGTTCACAGGCCCTGAGTCTGTTCTCTGTAAAAAAGGCCTAGCCCCTCACTCCATTCACACCCCAGGTCCCAGATGACACAAAACAGAATAAAACGCTGGTCCTATGAGCAGAACAAGGTGATTTTCTAGGGTTTCTTGTGTCCAAATTTGCATAAGAGCTCCTGGGTGTTCTTTGCTGTCAGAGGGCCATTTCTCTGTTACAGCCGGAAAGGAGTTGTTTCAATCACTGTAATTACTAACATGGAAGTCATTACCTGTTGTGAATTCTGCCCAGTGACTGGGGCCAAGACCTGTTTAGGCGGAAGGCTCAGTGTCCTTCGCAGATTCAGCTCGCGGTGAAGCTCCCGACCATCAGCCACGAGGGACCTATATCTCCTTCTCTTGTTCCTCTTCGTATTTCTGACGCCTCTTCCAGGTGAAATGGGTCAGGGAAATAATAGGAGGCTTGGATAAGCGGAAGAATGTGGTAGAGGCTCTCTCTTGCCTCTCTCTGACCTCTTTCTCATCCAAGTACTAATTAGGCCCACCCCTCCTTAGCTTCCAAGATCGGAGGAGATGGAGCATGTTCAGGTGGTAGGGCCGCATCTCTCCCTTGTCGCTTTCTTCTTTCTCTGCCTCTTGTTTCTCTGTCTCAGCGCACTCTCTCTCTCCCTGTCTCCCCACAGCTTGACTCCCTTTCTCACACTCTTTCTGCTGTGCTCACTTCTAGACTGAGCAGATTGCATGCCTGCCTTTACTGAACCAAACCCCATTGCCTTCCATGTGAAAGGAGTTTAAGAGCCTCATGGCAGCCTCACCCCCTCCTCTAAGCCTGAGGGGCCCAATAGCTTGTCAATCTCGTCTCCTCCCGGATCTTCACTCTATGACTACTAACACTATGGTTGAAACCTGTGGGGTGACTTTTATTTTTCAATAAAAGTGAGAAATTTTGATTTTATCCAAAGAAGAACAGAATGGCATTTTTCTAAATGTTTATATTTGAAGTATAGATTTGAGTGACCTAGAGAACTTGGAGGAATGATGAGGTGCAGCCTGCACTTCGGGAGCTTGTGTTTGGGGCCCTGGTCCTCAGTCTTCTCCAGTCGAAGGCCCTGGAGAACACTGCTCCTCTGCAGGCTGCTCTAGGTTCACAGCACGAAAAAAGCTTATTGAAAGCCACTTTTAAAACTGAATTCCCAATTTCATTTTCTCCTTGATATTATAAGAATACAATAAAAGGGGGAAGGAAGAAAAGAAGAGTGGAAGGGAGGAATGGAAAGAGAAAGGTAATTTGAGCCTAAGACCTGAGATATCTAATCAGATAGAAATTACGTTGAAAAAGCCTCATTTTATCAATTTTCTTTATGGGTTCTGGGTTACAGAGGAGCAGAAGGGTTCTTGGAGGCACCAGACACTTGGTGACTTTCCACCACTTAGGAGAGTAGGAAAGAAGAGAAAGAAAGGGAGGAGGAAGGAAGGGAAGAAGGAAAGGAGGGAAAATGGAAGGGTGATTGAAACAGGATTTACAGATTAGAAAGAATTCATTACAAAGATTTACTTCTGCTGTTAGTTATTGTTTTAAATTGTAAGCCACTTTCTTTCTTCTTTTTTTTCTTGAGATGGAGTCTCACTCTGTCACCCAGGCTGGAGTGCAATGGCATGATCTCGGCTCACTGCAACCTCTGCCTCCTGGGTTCAAGTGATTCTCCTGCCTCAGCCTCCTGCATAGCTGGGATTACAGGTGCTCACCACCATGCCCAGCTAAGTTTTGTATTTTTAGTAGAGACAAGGTTTCAGCAGGTTGGCCAGGCTGGTCTCAAAGTCCTGACCTCAGGTGATCCATCAGCCTCGGCCTCCCAAAGTGCTGGGATTACAGGCATGAGCCACTGCACCTGCCCCAAAGCTACTTTCAGATTAAAATCACATTAAGCAATGCCTACCCTTTGAGCCACATCTTCTTTTTCCAGTTCAAATACTTAATGGACTTCATGATTTGGAAAGCAGAGGTTACTGGCCAGTGTGTGTGTAAAATGGAGGTAGGGTAGGTTTAGGTAATTTTTTGTGGTGGAACTGAATTGTCAAGGAGCCTTTGTTGAGCTCCTACCGGACTCCATCTGGGGGCCCTGGTCACTGAGCAGAGATCAGTCTTTCCATTCTGGTCACAGGAACTAAGCATCCCCAAAGCACAGCACGCCAGCTTCCTTGTGAGAAACTTAGGTTCACATAATCATTTACGTAGGTCTCATGATCACGATGGAAAGGCCCCATCTTGGAAAAGAAACTTGCCACAGATTTACTCAAGATACTGACAAGGCTTTGTGTCTTTCTGACATGGAGCCTTGAGTTCCAATGCCCTGTCACTCCTATTGTCCTTCATTTGCTTATTGTTTATTATCTTCTTTTTCCCCTTTCTTTAGGTTTTTCTAAAGATATAAGAAATCCTGCTAGCTGCCGCAGCAATAAAGGTGTGTGTGTTCTGAATATTTGCTCTAGAAGCTCGAAACAGATAGGCACCTATGGCCATAATAGAATAAAATGCCGCAAAAAGGAATGTGGATTCAGAAAGGGCTCATTCAGCAGAGACATGCACCATGTAAACCAAATCAAGCTAGGCTGTTCAAAGATGCAGAATCTTGATCCTGGTCATCGTAATGGTGATTGTGTGGTGTTGGTTTCAGACAAGCCCATCTCTGACATCCTTGGAATGTTCTTCCCAGCTCTCTAGACCAGGGGTCAGGGATGGCACAGGAGGAGTTTTGTGGGTTGCCTCCTGTAACCCCAAACCAACAGGAGCGATGGGACATTAGAATACAAAACCCCATGTCAGAAAGACACAGAGTCTGTGTCAGTATCTTCTTGAATAAATCCACGCTGAGTTTCTTTTCCAAGCCTGAGCCTTTCCATCATGATTTTGAGATGTGAGCGAATGATTGTGAAATGGGAGTTTCTGACGAGGAGACTGGTACTGCTGCAGTTAGGGCGAGGTTTAGTTCCCAGAACCTGGAATGCTTTCCGGTTCATTGACATGTGTTCCCTTCAGGTCCCTTGACCTTCCCCAGTTATTCCCATTGTTTTCCTATAAACCGTGCTTTGCTCCTCCTACTTCCTCTCCTTGCATGCCCTCACCTACCCCACAACGTCCCTAAAGACTATGCCGTATTATTTTCTCAACTCAAAGACCTCTTTCCTCATGGAATCAGGGTGGATCCACCAAGCGGGGAACGCCCTGCCCTCCTGTGCTTCTCAAGTGCTCCCTTCTTTCTGGTTTAGGCTGTTTATGCAATTGTGCCTCCTGCTCTGGGGATAAATTTTTACCTCTCCATTAGACTATGAGCTCTCTACAGGCAGGAGAGAGAGAGAAGAGAGAAGCACCATTTAAAAACCATCAGATCTCAGGCAGATTCACTCACTATCATGAAAACAGCGTCGGAAAAACTGCCTATCACCTCCCACCAGCTCCCTCCCTTGACACTTGGGGATTACAATTGGAGATGAGATTTGGGTGGGGACACAGAGACAAACCATAATAGGACTCCAACAATTCTTTCTCTCACCTGTTCTATCTCTTATTCTCTCTACTGAATCTATACCAACTAAAAGAAAAACACCTCTTGGACACACAAGAGCTGTTATCTTTTGTCCTTGCCCAGCTTTTCAGGAAAACCCTATGAAAGGGGTGCCTACATAGTCCCCACATCCCATCACCCGTCTTTCCCTCACTGCCACTTAAGCCTGACTTCTGGCAAGAGGGTCACAATGCCTCCTGCATGACCTCACTCAGCCCTGCCTCTATCCATTGATCTGACCCCTAATTATGTGGTCACTGGCAGCTGCTCTCAGGTGTCCTTGCTCAAGGGAACACACAGCACACAGCCTGTGGAGGGTGGAGGAACCAACTGCAAGGTGGGTTTCCAGTGGGGTCATCTGGGGTTAAAGAAGGGGGTGAGAGGTAACAAAGAGGATTGCTTTCAGGGTGCGAGTGTAGGAGACAGCAGTGTGGACAACAGCTCTCAGCCTCCGCTTTACTTTCTAGAGGTATTATTATTATTATCGGTATTAACATCACCATTATTATTTGCTGTGGTTTGAGTGTTTTTGTCTTTCCCCCAAAATTCATGCTGAAATCCAGTCCCCAATGCAATAGTATTAAGAAGTGGAACCTAGGCCCTCACAAATAGGACCCTCATAAAAGAGGTCCTAGAGAGCTCCCTTTCCCTTTCTACCTGTGAGGGTCCAGTTAGAAGCCACCCTCTATAAAGAATGGGCTCTTACCAGACACCAAGTCTGCCAGGGCCTTGATGTGGGACTTCCCAGCCTCTGTGAGCAATGTGTTTCGATTGTTTATAAATGACTCATTCTAAGATATTTTGTTATAGCATCTCAAATGGACCAAGGCATTGTCATCATCATCATCACCATCATCATTACTATCACAAAAGTACTATTGCTGAGGCCAAGGGAACAAAACCCTCACAGCCTCTGTGATACATGTGCTTCTAAAACATTATTTTACCAGAAACATTTTCCTATTTCAGGTCAAGATCACTAAACTAGATCTCTATGTAGCAAGAGATTCAAATACTGTTTGAAAGTTTCAAAGTTAAGACATTTAATCTTTAAGTTGCTCCTAGACCAAAAGAAAATGTCAGAAACATACTTAGTCCATCTACTGAGAGCATCATGGAGTTGTCTAAAGACAGAGGTAAATGAGGAGCAAGAACGAAGACTTGATCTATGGCAGGCTGAGGAGGGGCCTGGAGGAGGCCACATGTGTGCAGAGACGCTGAGATTAGGCAGATCAGTGCATCCTCACCAGACCCTCTCCCAACCCAGGAGGTGATACGTGGGTCAGCATATTAAAGATGTCATTCACTGATGCCCTAACCTTGTTCCAAAAATATTTGACATTATCCTCACGTGATTTTCTAAGAGGTGACGGATAAAGTGTACATGCCCCCAAGAATGAGTAACCAGGACAACCCTCCCTCTCAGCATCTCCTCCTGGATGAATGCTTACCTGTGACAATGCTGTCTCTTTTAGGATGTGATTGTGGATGGTCTGTAGTTAGAAGTACAAGTGTGTTCAACCTCAGCATAAAATCAGAAATGCACACTGATGGAGTTGCTCACATGACTTCCCAGTGGAAGGAGGTAGTACTCTTTCTCAAGTCTTTTCCCACCATAATATTTGGGCTGAGAGAGAAAACTGGGACGAGCTAGAAAGATAGGCCAGTACCACCAATGATTGCTGTGTCCTGGGAGACCCCTGCGATTGGTCAATGTGTTGTTGACCATTTCCAGGGTGGTGATTAGGAGGACAATGGAGAGAGACGTTGATCAACTCCAAGGCTCTAACTAAACCTGCTGCAGAGAAATCTGTGCTTATTAACAAAGGAGTTTCCAGAAAAACAGGGTAGCAACACACCCAGATTGTCTGGGGCAGTCCCAGTTTATGTCTGTTGTCCCAACTATCAATAGTAGGCTCCTAAAAAGTTTTTCTGTTTGGGTTATAAATTATTTGGTGAGCTTGCGTAGGGAGCACTGGCCTTTCCCACCTGACCCACCATGACCCACCTGAGGCAGACTTTCTCCCTGTGTGAGGAAAGTGCAGCTCAGACAGCCTTTTATGCCCGACCCTGCTCGTTCTCTAAACCTCAAGCTCTTTTGCTGTCAAACACACATAACTAGTTTATCTCACTAGAAATCTGTTCCTTTATTTAAAAAAAGTTATCTTTCTTCGTTTAGCAAGAAAGACTGTAGAATAAGCAAAAGTTTTGATTGTTGGTAGAGTTCAAATCCCAACTCAATCACTAGTTGTAGCTAACTTGTTAGAGAAAACGCCTATCTCATGTAAAAGTTAAGTCAACTAAGATACCACTTCAAGATTCATGGTATGTGGTAGGTGTCCCAGAGATCCATGGTATGTGACAGGTGTCCCAGAGATCCATGGTATGTGACAGGTGTCCCAGAGCATTCATTTTCCCTGGAGTGACGGAGGAGTTTCAATATGATTTCATTAAATTATGTAAACTTAAGTTGTGGTAACATTAAATATGTGAAATTCAGTGCAGAATTATGTGTGTGTTCCTACAATTTAGCTCCCACTTATAAGTGAGTAATATTTGGTTTTCTGTTCCTCTGCTAGTTTCCGGACTGAATTTAAACTCATTCCCAGACCACTTGTCCCTGTCAAGTGATGTACACTGAAGAAAGAGCCTCCTTCAGGCTGTGAGGTCTTCCTGTCATCCTGACCAATCATTTCCCACCATGAGACTGCTGTACCTTCTCTTTCTCTTTCTTGGATATCTGATACAAACAGCCTCAGGTAAGCTACGAGCCCACCTGGAGGATGACGAGGTAGATACCCTTGGAGCTGACGCAGGCCAAACTGATTCACAAGCCAAGGAGGCACTGAAATAGGGGATAACTGAACAGCCACAGGGCTGAGCAAAAGCACAGCATGTACAAGAAATGCATTTTACAAATCAGGAGAGAGAAGCTTAAAGAAATTTAAAAATTTTTTTCCAAGATTACCTTTATCTAGTTGTTGCAAAAGATACCAGACATGATTGTGATAGATGACATTAACAGTAGCCATCAAAGCCTCCAAACCGTTTCCATGACGTTCAAAACAATGGCAACAGCCACACTAATACTAACAGCAAATAATGCCGACCGCTTTCTCTTTACCGGACGTCAAAGCAAATATGTGTTGTGTTTTAACATGTTACCTCCCATGTACTCCTCATAAGAATATTTATGGGGCAGGTATTTTTAACCCTGTCTTACATATGAGACTAAGGAATGGCATCACTTGTCCAAAGTCACAAGGATTGTAAGTGGTGAAGCCTAGATTCAGACTCAAGTTGGTTTGGTTCCAAAGATTATGCTGTTACTAAATACTCAACAATACCTGAAAATAAAAATGAACAGTTTTAAGTACAGGTATGTCCCATGCAACACTTGGGACAAGCTTATACTACAAGAAGATTCGTTGTTTATCTGATATTCAAATTTAACTAGAGGTCTCACATTTTCCTGGCAACCTCCTGTATATGTCACATGGACCAGGTTACGCTGTGGTGAAAACAACATTCAAATCCTGGCATCCTAAAAAGAGCAAAGGTTTAACTCCCACTTCTGGTACAAATGCTTTGTGGCCGTAGGGCTGCTCTGCCCACTGCGGCTGCTCCACCCCACTGGTGGAGTGGCCACAACCGTGACTACTGCTGGCCGCTGCAAAGGAAGGGGCGCTGAGGTTCTCACACTCGCAGGTAAGGGCTTCAGCCCTGCAAGGACACATCACTTCTGCTCAAAATTTATTAACCAAGCAAGTCTCATTGGCCCTTCCTAACAAAAGGTAGGGGAGGCAATCCTACTTCATGGCAAGAAAATAGCCAGATCTATTTGTGATATAGATATACCACTATATATTTGTGATATAGATATATAGCCCCCTAATTGTGATAGATAGATGATTGATGATAGATCAGATAGATAGATAGAATATAGATGATAGAGAATAGATGATAGAATAGCTATAGATATGGATGTGGTTGCAGATATGAACATATATCTGTATCTATATATGTATCCTCTTCTCATGAGAGATTAGGAGCCTCTGTGACTGACAAAGGAAAACAGGGTTGCCCATAACTATAGTTGTGGTGGAGCAGGAATTAGAAACCAAGTTTCCTAATCTTAGTTGAGTACACTTCCCATCACAATGCCATGCCTTTTTTTTTTTTTTTTTTTTTTTTTGAAACAGAGTTTCGCTCGTTACCCAGGCTGGAGTGCAATGGCGTGATCTCGGCTCACCGCAACCTCCGCCTCCTGGGTTCAGGCAGTTCTCCTGCCTCAGACTCCTGAGTAGCTGGGATTACAGGCACACGCCACCATGCTCAGCTAATTTTTTGTATTTTTAGTAGAGATGTTGACCAGGATGGTCTCGATCTCTTGACCTCGTGATCCACCTGCCTTGCCCTCCCAAAGTGCTGGGATTACAGGCGTGAGCCACTGCACCCGGCCCTGCCATGCCTTTAAAAGACATAAACTCTAATGGAAATGCTTCACACTCACTGTTTCCTTGTGGTTGTTGGTCATTCTCTCTGGCTCTTTAGACCTGCTCTCTTATGACTAAGGTCAACCTCCTTGATGCGGTGCCATTTGCTTTCCAGCCTAGCTCCCTGAGCATAGGAAGGCAGTGCCTACTCCATGACTCAGCTTTGACATTAAAAGAATCACAATTTATGAAAAACTCACACTTCACAGAACACGGGAGGCACCATATTCAGGAATCCGAATACTCACTTTAGTTATCTATTCATTCAATACTTATTGACTAATTTGCACTCAGTAAATTAGTAACTTGTAAAGTTTTGCGCTGTCTAGAAGAAGGAAGGCACTTGAGAAAGCTTTTATGGCAAGCATGTGGAGGGAAGTAAATCTTATAGTCTGGCCTTGCGGCACAGTCAGAAGAGACTCCTACAGCAGTCAGCGAGCTTTTTCTGTAAAGGGCTGGGTAATGAATACTTTGGGCTCTGTGGACCATGTGATCTCTGCCTGTGTCGGATGAAAGCCACAGATGATGTGTAAATAAATGAGCGTGGCTATGGTCCTCTAAAACTTTATTTATGGACACTGAAATTTGAGTTTCATGTAATTTTCACGTATCACCAAATTTTGTTTTGAATTTTTAAAAATAAAGATTTAAGAACTGTCCTAGGTTCACATATCATATCAAAAGAAGCAGAGTTAGTTTTGCCCTGTGACCTACAGTGTGCTAAACAAGATGAATGCTAGTAACTTTTTAAAAACAGGATTGTACTTTATGTTACTTTTCCCCTTCTTCCCTTATAGGATATGAGAGAAAGGATATATTCCTTGAATGTGAACACATGGGTGGTGTCTGCAGGCACCAAAAAACCCACGGATGCTCTATCCTGCCTGCACTGTGCAAAAGCCGGTACAAACACTGCTGTAGGCTGTAGCTGCAACAGCCACAGGGGCCTCAGGGTAGCCCAGAAGAACTACAGCCCCTGACTTCTGCTGAATAAAGCCATCACCACCCATGGGACCCTGTTGCTGAGAGCATGCTTAACTTACAGACCGTTGGACCAGAGGCGGGAGAACTTAGAATCTGGGTTTGGTCACACCACTAACTCCCTGATTAATTTTGAATAAGGCCTTTTTTTCCTAGGTTTCAGTTTCTGCACCTCTGACCACTGAAATAGGTATTTTCTAAGACACCTATATGCTGTTTATATGTCTGTGAATCTACGGATTTTTGGATGAGGGCTGTGTGTGTGCATGCATGTGTGTGTGTTGGTTATAAGTTAAAAAGTCACAGAGGTTTTATTTTTGTTTTCCTTTTCAAGATAGGGTTTTATGCTATCTCCCAGGCTGGAGTTCAGTGGTGCAATTGTGGCTCATTGCAACCTCAAACTCCTGTGCTCAAGCAATCCTCCCACCTCAACCTCCCTAGGAGCTGGGACAACAGGCATGAGCCACCAAGCCTGAATAATTTTTTAAAAAATTTTTGTAGAGACAGGATCTTGCTAGGTTGCCAGACTGACCTCAAGCAATTCTCCCATCCAAAGTGCTGGGATTGCATGAGTCAGTTACCACACTCAGCTCTCACAGATATTGTATTCTCACTTGTCTGTATCCTTCCCCCTAAACGACTCTTGGGTATCCAGCAATGGAGCCCAGTTGATTATTAAACAGCTAGGAAAATAAATTGGCCTTCTACATAAATATTTAACTTGGCACTTAGGCATTAACACATAGAGTCAGAACTCAGATATTGCTGAAATCAACTCATTGATTTATAGAGGATCGAGATTTAGAGAGACAGTGATGATTTTCTCTCCAAAGGCACCTTTTCAAATATCGATACTTCTTTAAAATCATTTTCTTAGAACCCAAGGAACTGTTTTCAGCATAGATCAAATTGTACAGAGGAAAACCTGCTGATTAGACTGGAAATGTTTCCCATTTTGAAATGCTCCAGAAACAATTTCGGAATCACCTTTTCTTTCATCAGCTTCCTTTATTCAACTAAACAGAACTCTCACACACCAATAGGAATGCAAAACAGTACGGCTAATCTGGAAGACAGTTTGGGAGTTCCTTGTAAAGTAAAATATACACTTACCTAATGACCCAATAATCCCCCACACGGATATTTATCATGGAGAAATGAAATGTATGTTCAAACTGAAAACATGTATGCAAATGTTTATAGCAGTTCTATCAATAATTGCCCCAAACTGTAAGAAAGACAGCTGCCTTTGACCAGTGAACTGACCGTGGTACGTCACGTAATGAAAGACCACACAGCAACAATAAATGATAACATGGATGAATCTCAAAGCCCTGTTGACTTAAGAGAGCCAGACATAAAGGCTACAGATTGCACGACTCCATTTACACGACACTGAAGGCCAAACGGTAGGCTCAGAAACCAGATCAGTGACTGGCGGGGTTTCAGAGTCACAGGAGGGGTTTGTCTATAAAGGGTAATATGTTTTGGCTGTGTCCCCACCCATGTCTCACCTTGAATTCCCACATGTTATGGGAGGGACCCAGTAGGAGGTAACTGAATCATGGGGGCAGGTCTTTCCCGTGTTGTTCACCTGACAGTGAATAAGTCTCATGAGATCTGATGGCTTTAAAAAGGGGAGTTTCCCTGCAAAAGCTCTCTTCTCTTGTCTGTTGCCATGTAAGACATGCCTTTCACCTTCCACCGTGAGTGTGAGGCCTCTCCAGCCACATGGAACCATAAGTCCAATAAACTTCTTTCCTTTGTAAATTGCCCAGTCTCGTATGTCTTTATCAGCAGTGTGAAAATGGACTAATACAAAGAAACTGGGGGTGAAGGCCATACAGAAGTGTGGCAGTGAACACAGGGCTTTGCATTTCCAAATCCCTCACCACCACAAACTTTGAATTTTACTATGTATAAAGTAACCTGATGGGAAGAAAAATGGAATGCAGATTGTGACAAATAAGTCTAACTGTATTAAACATTTTGCACATAAAATAATGTATTAAATATATTACTCATTTCTAGTGTTTATTTTCTATCTCCCTATTATGTAAACACTACGAAGGTAGGAATTTTTCTATTGCTTTGTTCACTGCTAGGTAAATGTTTGTTGACAAAAATGAATGAATGAAAGTTAACATAATTGGTAATTTTCTCTGAGTAGTCAAGCAATGTGGTGAGGCAAATCAGAATTCTACCTCACTCTACTGATTGACTGTGAACATTATCACAAATTTGACAATACACATGTGTAACATTTATATCTGGTGTTCCCAGCCTCTCCTCTTTCTTCATCCATGACTAAGTGTTCCCACTACGTTTTTCCCACTAGGGTTCTTTCCTTACCCTCCCCTCCTTCCTGAGGTTTGTTCTACTATTACTGGACCAATCCTGTGTGCTTGAATCAAGAAGAAAAAGGAAGGAAGAAAAGGAAATAGAAACAGAGGGCTAGAGCTGGGGTTAAAAAAAAAATTGGAGAGAGACGATGCTGAATCTGTGACTAATGAGAAAAATATATGGGAGAACCAAGAAGGTTTTCACTTCATGGTGAAGAAATACAAGTAAGAGACTGCGTTATTTCTAAATTACTAGCTGATTTCCAAGCTCTTCTGGTAATAGTAGACTATGTTCCTGATGGACAGATAAACTGTTCTGACAGAGTATGCTGTGAACCAAGTTCATAGGCACCCAAAATATTCAAAATCTAGTAATAATCCCTGTAAACAGATGGTATAGGAAGCCAGTGCCAATAAAAAAACAACTGGAGAAGTTAATATTTGTATCTTTATTTGGATATCTTTACTCATCGTTTCTTCATCTGCAAACCTGTGCTGAATTTTCTGTAGTTACTCATTGATTGGGACCTGGTCATGGTTCTGTTTGCCACTCATCACAGTGCCAGCCAAACTCTTCTTTTCCATGTGATTGTTTAGGTTTTGGCAGCATGTTTTATGTTTGTGTGTCTCATCTTTCTCCTTGTCGTTTGCCTCCCCGGGCACTTTGCAGGGGGTGCTGTCTCCATCCTCCCACCCCAAACTTGCATTGTAAATTACAGAAAGCAGTGGTTATCTCTAAGCTAACTCCCTCACCAGAGCAGATCACAGATGCTCATAGTGGAGGGAAGACTTGCTCAGGACACTACAGCTGATGCTGAGACCTGGACAAGCATCAGCTTGGTCATCAGCTTCCCTTTGACCAAGGAAGACACAAAATAATCACACTTATCCCAGGACTCCAGCCTTACAGCATAAGCCTCTGACATGCAACTGGAATTCCTACCTCTCAACTGGCTTCTGCCTGCATCTCCATGCGGGACTGACTACTTTGGGTAGTCTCTCTGGACAGGTGTGTCTCCCTCCTACCCATCCCAACACCCCAATGCTCCCAGGACTGTACACCCTCAGTAGGTTCCTCCTGCTCAACCCAACACCCACCGCAGGGGTATCCTGAGACCAGCCCTGTCCTCACATCTCCTCTCCCAACTGTAGTAAATTCTTTCATATCCAGTCTCTCTTCCATGCACACAAAGTGTTGCAAATCACTGAAGGAAAGGTTTTTAGACTGTGTGATCTTGGGCAAGTTATTTAACCTAAAAAATGCCTACCCCATCATGGGAAACATATCTTCCTTTAATCAATCCTAATGATTGTAATCAATTATCTGGGCTTGAGTGAGGTTTGCTCTCATTCGAACTAAAGGAGCCATACTCCAGATCCTGTGCCTGCGTTCCTTGTCGGGCTCCTCCATTAGCTTCTCCTTATTTTACAGCAAACGGTGAAAACTCTGCAGGGTCCTCTGAAAGGCTCACAATCTGGTGTTCCTTGCTTCAGGCAGATTCCACCTCTAAGGTAGCAGGGTCTTTCAAAATTAAGTGCCCTAGTGATGCCTGAAAAATGGAAAGATGTGTGTATGAAGCCAACAGTCTGAGGAGGAAAGCAGGAGAGTTCACCATGCAGATGGAATCCCAACCTTTACCAGCTAAACACCGAAAGCAAGTGGCTTTGATTTCAAGGCCTCGGCCTCTTCTCCCTTCACCCTCTCAAGTTGCCATAAGATCCCACTGTTGTTGATATAACTACTGACCAAATCATCTTTCCACCCTCTGGAATAAACAGGAGTTGGTTCATGTGTCAGGGATGGAGTATGATCAATACCTTTCACCTGGTCCATCTCTCAAGTCACCCCTGATCCCCTACCTCATGTGCCCTGGCCCATCTCTCACAGTCTCTTAAGATGGAAGCCCTGTCCAGGCAAACTCAAGTCACCACTGTGATGAGTGGCACGAGGTCTCTGGTCAGGGCAAATACAAAGAGTCTTTGTCTCCACCCCAGTTTATACTGATCACGTGAGTCAATAGATTTGGTCCTCAAATCAGCCAATTCACCGGGGAAAAGTGGAGGAGTTGAAGATAGTGACCTAACAGGACTTTTAGCATCATAACTTTTAGCCAGTCGCAGAGGACTTTTTTAGCTTTTCAGTAAGTTATTTTGGGGGTGTAGCGATGACCTCTGAGTACCCCCTAATCCTTAACCTTCCAACTGTTGTTGGGGAGAGGAAAAAATGAAACAATGATAAGAAAGGGTCATGATGTTGGTATTTACCGGGCAGTAGCTGGAAGATGGCAAAAAGAGCAGTGAGGAAAAAGTGGAGTCTCATCGTTACAGAGCTGAGGTTCTCAAAGACCTGATGGGAAGAAACAAGAAGACAAAGTCAGACAGCTGAGGTTCTGTCAGAGGGACTTGCAGTGGTGCGATTAGCACAGAGATCGGCATCTCACTACTCCCGGATCCTGCTCCTCCATCACAGCAGCGTCCGTCTCTCCTGCTCCCTAGTCTCCAGCTGACACTTGCCCTGGTTTTCCTCAATGCCTGGGTATGACGCTCTCCTCTAACCACCTCATAGAATGGTGTCAAGGTGACATAAAGGCCTGCAGGCACATAGTGGGGGCGAGAGTCTAGCTTTCCTAACAATAGAATAAAGAGGGTCCTTCACAGGTGAGGAAAGTAACTGGAAAAGATGTTGAGGCAAGTTAACTAGATGTTTCACGCTCCTTAAAAGGATGATCTGGTATAGCAGTTGGTTAGTTACAACCTCCCTGGAGAATCTTCGTTAAAGGAAGAAAGAGTTCATGTTGGTTAAAAGTTAGTGGAAAAATAAACTCAGGTCAGTCCTAGAATTTGAATTTCATGATTTGCTTGCACTCAAATCTATTATTCTTCTAATTTTTAAAAATAATACATATTACAAAATTCCAAATAATAGAGATATGTAAAAAAAAAAAATGAAGGTAGAAAACCCCCATAGCTTCTCTCTTCAACTATACCCACCATTTACCATTCAAAGCATTTTAATTTATTTCCTTTGCAAACAAACTGTGTAAATATCTGTCTTAAATTTCAAATGCAGGATCATACTTCATAGCCAGCTCCATTGCGCATTTTTCATATTTAAATATTGTCTCAGAGGTTAATATTTGTATATATATATGCCTCACATATTTATATATATATAACTATACATATATCTTTTAAAATGTATATGCCTTTTACTTTGTAAAAATTCCTAGAAATGGAATGTCAACAGCTATGCATATTTCAAGATTTATTTATTTATTTATTTAAAGCTGGAGTCCCACTCTGTCACCCAGGCTGGAGTGCAGTGGGACTATCTCAGCTTACTGCAACTCCGCCTCCTGGGTTCCAGCAGTTCTCTTGTCTCGGCCTCTTGAGTAGCTGGGATTACAGCCACATGCCACCATGCCCAGCTAATTTTTGTATTTTTAGTAGAGACAGGGTTTCACTATGTTGGCCAGGCTTGTCTCAAACTCCTTACATCGTGACCTGCCCTCCTCGGCCTCCCAAAGTGCTGGGATTACAGATGTGAGCCACTGCGCCAGGACAACTGCCCACCTTAGAAGCTGCTGACCCACTTTTTTCCTCTTACTGAAATGTATGGAAGTATTTTTCAACTATCAGTATTCTTACCAATGCTAATTATTATCAATTGTGTTAATCTTTGTCAATCATGTCAGTGAATATAATATTCCTGCTTATCTCACTATACTTTTAAAAAATTATTTCTGAGAATAAGCTTTTTTTTAATGTTCACTGGTTATTTTTGTTTCTTGTTATCTATTTTTCTGCTGAGTCACTCATCCGTACTTACTATTTCTAACACTCTGCATATTTAATGTCCTTTATCATAGAGATTGCGAGAATCGTTCTGGCTTGCTTTTTACTTTGTGTTTGCTCATCTAGTAGCCAAAATATGCACGGTGATCATCTTTTATGTAGTTTGTTTGATCTCCCTAAAAGACATGTGTTTTGTGCCTTTACCTAATTATTTCTGTGTTCCTGTTAGTTTTTCAGCCGTGGGATAAAGGCTGTTCTGAGAAGTCATGGCAGACTTGTCTTCCCAGCAATGACATGGAAACTGTTTCTTGCTGCATCCAGAAGTACAAATTTCCTGAACCTGCAGATATGTTAACACTCGCCATATGTTATCTCATACAAAAGGCAGATGTCTGGGTTCATATCACTGTTCTCTTAGAAAACTGAGGCCGTGCAATGAAGAAACAAAATTACGCAGGATTCTAAGGAATTTAAAGTGTGAGGTTCCTGTTGATGCCGGGGTACGGCAGAACATCCCACAGAGAACACAGCACATTTTGCACACTCACCGTAGAGTAAATACCAATCTTGCCGACTATCAAATGCCCAGGCATTCCTAGCTCACCCAGTGGAGTCTATGCTCCCTTACTCTTCTGTCTCTTCCTGTGCTGGTACCATGAGATTTGAATGAATGTAGCCTCCACCAGTCTTTAACAGAATTCATGGCTACCCTCTATGACTCACTCTTAGAAAATAACTTTTAAATTACTTTATCAAGTTAAAATAATTTCATTGCTTTTTTAACTAATATGAAATTGAAACTACAAGTTTTATTTAAGAAAAAAATGATATGTGGGCTATTGAGCTTTCCTAAGAAAAGAATTTTACTTCAAATATTTTTGTCTCATTTTAATATATCTTTTTGGTACTCTTCAAGAAGTTTCTTTATAACAATCCAAAACACTTTGTAACTTAATTATAAAAATAACTATAATTATTTTTGAGTCATAGTCTTCTTTCATTGTATTTTGTAATTGGCTACTGTTTGCATACAGAAAGCCATTGATTTTGTATATTGAATTTATCACTAGCCCACAGGTTAAACTCTTACTGGTTTTGATTTTTTTGTGATTACTTCTCCACAGGTTTTCAATCATAAAATCATAAATTTGTTAATAATTAGCATTTTGACTCCTTATCTAAGTGCCTTGATTAACAATTGCTAGAGCCTTCAGGGATCATCTAACCCAAACTACCCACTTTTCAAACGAAGAAAGCATGGCCACATGAGAAATGTTGAAACAGCATTACCAAGTAAGCCTGTGGTTGACGTCCCTACATGCAGAACCCTCTCGCAGTCACCACGGTGCAAAAATCGACTCCTTCTCCCCAACTTATTCCACCTCTTCCTTCTTGTCTCCCTAATTCTTCCCTTCTCATGTCAAAGACCAACTTCCTTAATATTAAAACAAGCTATTTAGTTTCTTTAAAAAGCAGATGTTTCAGTAGTTTCTCAGTTCATGTGATTTCTTCTGTAAACGCCTTTGATTTTTCTTCCAGAACTTGATTACAAATTTTAACTCATGCCTCAAGCACAAGCTGTAGTTTCAGCCCAATTGTCCTTGGGGATCAGAAATGAGTTTGTCTATGATGAAGGAACTGAGAGGATTTTAACGACAGCACATACACGAAAAAAAAACAAGCAAACCAAAACCTCAGTTCCTCTGAGGTCCTTGCACTAAGTTACCCCTTTTAGGGGTCAAAATTGGGGTGATTTAGTTCAAGTCATGATTTTCACTTAACAAGTTAGAGACAGAGAAAATGTACTTGGAACCTAGGAATATTTAGGGCCACTACTGTTTGTAAACCCTGACGGAAATCACTGGAGGACATAGGGAAAGCAAGAAAAATTAAGTTCAACATAATGATGGTTGATATTTGAAGGAAAGAAAAATAGAAATGAAGAAAGGTGTAGAAAAGGGAGAGAAAAAGGAAAAGAAAGAAGAGAAAGAGGAAGAGAAGAAGAAGACAGAGAGTGAGGTTGTTTATTTTTTGTTTTTTTGGGTTTTTGTTGTTGTTGTTGTTTTTGAGATGGAGCCTTGCTCTGTCACCCAGGCTGGAGTGCAGTGGCATGATCTTGGCTCACAGCAACCTCTGCCTCCCAGGTTCAGGCAATTCTCCTGCCTCCGCCTCCTGAGTAGCTGGGATTACAGGCATGCGCCACCACGCCCGGCTAATTTTTGTATTTTTAGTAGAGGCGGGATTTCACCATGCTGGCCAAGATGGTCTAGAACTTGTGACATTGTGATCCGCCCACTTTAGCCTCCCAAAATACTGGGATTACAGGCATGAGCCACAGCACTCAGCCCAGAGTGAGATTTTATATGAATCTCTTGCAAAATTCTTCCACACCTTGGGGCAGTCAAAGCCCCCGAGTCTGCTTCCCATCAGGGTACACTCTAGAAAAGAAGGTCACTATGCAGACGAGCTTGGGGTTAGAGCACTGCTATTCTCTTACCTGTGGTGCGAAAATGAAATGCCAGCTGTTCTCTCCTTTCCCCAACTCTCTGGCCCACGGAAGTCCGAGCTCATCAGCACTCTCCTTGACACAACAGGCCCTACCGAATCTACCTTCTCTCACTAGAAAAAGAATGTTGTCTCCTTATCACCATGAGCCTGTGGGATCCTCCATATTTGTTAACCTATTATTTGTTGAGATGATGAGTTGTTAACCCCAGGCTGGGTTTGCTCACTCTTTGTGTTGTTGGCATTGAGCTCCTCAGATTGAACCAGAGACAAAGAATAACCGTCACCTAAAAGAATAAAACACCTTTTGCGAAACTGTAGAAATGCAGAGCTCCATCTCCCTTCGCTGTCTCTGGAGACACCAGCCACGCTCTCCTGAGCATTTTCCTCCTTGTTCTGAAGAGCCCCAGAACTCACAGCTGCTCCCCAGACAAAGTTTTCTCAATCCCTCACCAGCCTCTTTGTCCACTTCAAGGTCATTTCCAACTCGCCCATGTCCTCCTTAAAATGAGAACACAAGAAAGTCTATTTCACTGTAAGTCAACGAAAATGAACTACATCACCCTACATATGTAGAAACGGGGCTTCTGGTCTTCTCTAAGGTGGGAATGAGCATCCAAGTGCGACGTTTTGCTCATCGTCAGGCTTGATGCCTGGTATGTAAAAGCTCTAACAGTGAGCAAAGGATTGGGCTAAGTGTTCCACACGCTCGTCTCACTTAATCCTCAGAACAGTCTTCAGAGGTCCTAAGAATGACTGTTCTGGAGCTGAAGCAACAAGACCTCGTCTCTAGTGAGGTTGAGCAGAAATTCAACTCAAGGTCATGGTAACCTACTCTCAAAACGGACACACGGCATCACTTTCTGTAGCCTCAACTCTTCCACAGGAAAAGCTTCAGGGATCCTGACAACACTATGCAGTGAACGTACAAAATGCATTAAGATTTGGGGTTCCTGGGTCCTGGCTCTGACTCTGCTTCTGGTTTACAGGTCATATCACCTCTCTGTGCCTCGGGTCCCTCCTCTGTGAATGACAAAACAACCTCAT